CGTCAGGTATCAGGCCAATATCCTTCATCTGGGCCTGAACCGGTACGTTGACCAAGATGACCACGATTGAGGCGCCAGGGGGTGGACTACAACTAGGCCCAAGAAATAAGAGGCCTCCGTCTTAATCCAGGACCACCTTTAAGCCAACCACCAAAGAGACACCCCACAGACAACCAAAGTGTCGTTGGCGTAACAGATTACGCCCAGCCCGGGGGGAACTCTCCTCGAGGGGCCTAGTCGTACCTTATGTTCCACAGGAGGGCCCAAGACCAGAGCCCTGTTCAACACCACATGACATGGGCCAACGTCTCCAAATTGAAACAAAAACTATAGGGTTTGTTTCTTGAAACTTAAAACAAGCCCGAGTAGGGTTTATTTCAAATTTAAGACTGGTATAACCTACCCGTCTGGCCAGCGTAGCATAGCAAAACAAAAATCTCCTTTCTAAGGAGAAGCCCATATCCAGCAATAGACTGTTGAGGATGATGATAAATACCATAAACTAGATAACCTAAAACAACCCAAGGGGCCCTTGGTAGAATTTGCTACAGGCCCCGCGCTGTCTTAATCCGGCACTGGGTGATAGTGTGTATTTATCTTTCTTATAACAAGAACAGGGTACCTGACTATGAAGGTAGGGTCGTGCAGGATACATTGGTAAATATTAAGACATATTGACAAAGACAAACTGCAACAAATACGAGTATCGGTGAGTCACACAAATATTTGCTTAATGTTCCAATTAAAGTTCATTTTATTGAGGTTGTAAATTGTAATAGACTAGTTTCTGTTATTGGCTTGGATTCTTATTTATTTCGAATTTCAGTTATATCATTAATGTATACAATAAAGTCGCTTTTTTGTGTTGCACGCTTAGATCTTTTAAACCAAGCAACGGATTTTAATGCGGTTTTCACCCATAGAGAGAGTGATTCAAGAGGAAGGTTTATATGTTTAATACATGCATATTATAGTAGAGAAAATTGGAGAATTTCAAAGATTGTCATGTTTTTGCAAATGCTTACTAAACCTTGCTAGATAGACCAAAATATTGTATAACGGAATTGCATATCTTAAAAATTTCTACAAAAAAGTAGGCAATGGTATATGTCTATTTCGTAAGAATAACCCACAGTAACCATTTTTATCTTTCAAATATTACAAAAAAATAATGGGTTATTTACGAAGCTATTTTAAACATTACATTATTATTTCTTATCCACTTAAATACGTTGTGAATTAAATGTTGATTAAAATAGCTCTTTACAGTATTTTATTAAAATGTATATTTTATAAGATTTAAAATTAATAAAAGAAGGTTTCAAATGCGGGGCCCCAACGACCATCGAACCGTACGTCCGTCGCGGGTGACAGCGGCCGGCAGGATCGGAGCGGGCCTATAAATAACCAGTCAGAAAAAAAAAATCGCTGGTATCTTAGATGACTTCTGTTTAAATAAAAACGTAATTTTAATCAAATATTCAAAATATTTTATTTGTTATACGAAGTAACGTGTTTCTTAGATATCCTTATCTTATTTAATATAAGTATTGTAAACAATACGATAACCAAAGTTGCCAATTTAGCAACTTTATCGCTAGAAATAAAGATTTTGGATGGATTTTAGGGACAAAAATACAGTTTTAACGATAAATATGAGTTAGCGATCTTTTTGACTACTTTAGGAGTACAAACTAAAGCACAGAGGGAACATTGGTGTTCCCACATAGGGAGAGTCCCCCGCCGTAGATGGCCCGAGGTACGTCGGGGCACCAGGGATTTCACCTGAGACGGCGTGCGGCTTTATTCGGTTCGAGTCCGACATTGTCACCGGTGGTACCCAGTGGTATCCGAGGGGATTTCCGCACAGAAAAAAAAAGGAGTACTAACTAAAAGAGTTTTAGGACCAGTATACGAGCCGCCAGAGAGTGGGGACCTCTGGTAGGTAATAGTGGGGGTAGGGGATAGGATGGCAGCCTGATCTCACTGAAAATGTGATCGGGCTGCAACATCTGAATAGGCTAAGAGGCAGGGAGAAGCCACTGGCTTTCCCTGAGCTGGGGCCTAGTTAGGTGCGGCGTCGATCTGGGGGACCTGAAATCACATGGCCCGAGTTCTCCCCAGAGCAGGGCGCCTAAGGCTGGCCGTCGGAGTGGTTTTTAGTGGAATCACCACATACTCCTGGCTCCTATATCCCCAAGGAGCGGGAGATCCGAAGGGATTTTCCACTCCGTCAACAACAAAAAAAAAGGACCAGTATACAAGTATATTTCTTACGCTTAACAATAAAAAATAAAGAAAGAGTAAGTAAGAAAAATAAAGTTTGGAGTAAGTCGTCATTTAAAGAGTAGCTACCCACTATCAACTACAGCTTCAAATACAAATACAAATACTTTAATTGCTTTAAATGAGGATACAAAGTGGTGGTTGGTAGTAAGTTAATAAAATGTACAAGCTCATTTAGCCATTCAAGTAACAGCATACAATTTTTTATTAAATGCAACTAAGTGTCTAAAATTATTAATTAATTATTACATTACACTGTATTTCAAAATTTATAATATGTTATATAAAATTTAATTGATAATAAATATTAATATTAATAATAGCTGCATTTCATAATATTAAAATTGCTCATTAATACAATTAATACATTTTCTTAAATATAACAATATAGACATTGCTCATTGTTCACGATATGCACACACATCAGCTTTTCAGCTACGGTAAAACTAAATGTACTTTAAAATTACATTGTAAATTATATTATGTTTTCTTATGTGTGTCCCAGCTTGCCCTTGCACACCTCTTATACAATAACCAGGCTAAAATTCCGAGTCCGCCCATGGTAGAATCGTCTTAAGTGACTTTCAAGCGACAATTTATAAGTGTTCACCACTCGCGATATTGATAATTTACTTTATAAATAAAACTATTATCTGTGTCTTTCCTGCAGAATATTATACTTAAAAAAAAACCTCGCCCATGTACTTGTAACAATTCTCATATTTTAAAGGAATCTTTTTTGAGTCTCAATATCCAATTTTCCTTGTACGCAGGCGACGCTACTCTGTACTAAATCATATATCGTTATTACAAGACCTTATTTTATTTCAATAACATTTTGAAGGATAAAGACTATTGTTCAATAATTGTGAAAAAAAATCTCTCTTTATCTTAACTAAGACCCAAGCAATTAAAAGGTAAAAAAGTAACGAAGTCGAAAACATTAAACAACACATTTTAATCACAAACTTTTTTTTTATCTGCCCACAAAGTTAAGTGGTAATTGTATATTTTTAAAGTTTATTCTTACCTATCCTCCTTGATTCAGCGATAAAATGCAACAATATTTGCCTATCAAAAAGCTATCATCACAAATAATATTTATTAAACACTTATTTGCTTTAATGATGAAGTTCAAAAACCTCATATCATTTTTAATACACCAAGTGCTTATCTTTTATGCACTGAGTAGGAATCCAAAATTAAATCACACTTTGCTGGAATTTTGTGTTAAAAAAACCTCAGCAAAAATAATATCTCTATTAATGGCTGGAATCGAACAAGAACAGAGTTTTATCTTGTGGCACAACAAATAATACCAAATTAACAGTTTTCGATTTCGATTTACTAGCTCCTAGCAACGTTTCAGAACTAGCTCGAGAGGCTGGTTCTTTTAAATAACGGGTATTTAAGATTTAAGAACACTAAATTCATAAAAATAAATCCTTCGTTTAATTCTATTAAGATTGGAGAAATAATCATAAAAATGTTTTTTATTTTCTTTTGTATAGGTATATGTGGGTGGTATAAATTACAATCGTATACAACCTGTAAAGTCTGATTATAAGCCGCTTGTTATAACTCAAAGTCTATTAAAGTTTGTATAATAAATAACACATAACCGCCTTCATACCATTTTTTTAATTTTATTTGGTGCCGACGAAAAGATCTCATCTTTTCTTTGGTCGTCCTCTGCTCTTATATCCGTCAACTTTCATGCATAAACCTAAAATGTAATCCTTCACTATATTTGGCTCAACTAAATAAATAAAATTCCCAATTTTTAAAATTGATAATATTTTTGATAATTTTCTCCGTATTCCAGGAAAACTGGAAACGGTATTTAGTGAAGTAAACCGATGACCTCTGTTGTGTCGTCATCTAAATATGAGTGGCGATTTATATTGAAGATACTCTATTGTGATGCTACAAGGCGTCTGTTGATAACAACGTAACAAGGTGCGTTTTTGTTTATAGTAACTGACTTCAGTAAATTATTAACTGATTTTGTTTAGTTCAAAACATGTATAATTACACAAATACTGATGTTTATTTTTGTTGAGTGATTGACTTCTCTATTAAAAAGTAGACTTTTTCTTAACGTATTTGAAAAGTTATATTGTTAAATTACATGCATTTAATGTTCTCAATTTTTATTCGTTGCTTTTATATCTTTATATACTATACCGAAACAGACACATCATCTACCCTTTTTTAAGTATCTAAATAAAATATTAAGGAAATATTGTACGCTGTTAGAAGACAGACACAGATGTTCTGTAGGATTCATATTTTTACGTACACCAGGATAGTTTTAGTACGAATAAATGTAAGTACACTATCGTAGTTGGACAAACAGTACAGTTTGTGTGCAAAGATAAAACACTACATGTCATCAAAAGAGAAAACTAATAAGAGAGAGAATTTTTAAGTCGTTAAAACATATATCTTTAACTTTTCAATACTAAAATAGTTATGAGAAGCTATTAAAAATTTAACTTGGCATGTAAATGATTAAATTAAGAATTTAAAAAATCTTATTCACCATAGTAAAATTTCTGACACCCCTACCGACACTTTTACGCGGCGTTGTTCGCGTAAGTTAAAATTAACCTTTATGCCGTTGTGTATATAAAGAGAAAACATGATGAAGCGCGACAGTAGACGTTCGACGTTGGATCATCAACCACAACTGTGTGCAGTGTTCAGTCAACATGTTGATGAAAACCATCATTTTCGCTATCCTGGCTGTCGGTAAGTGATAAAATAATTTTAATTACACATTTTCAACAATTGAAATTGCATATTTCATATTACATGAAGTAAAATTATTTGTAAAATATATAAGTAGTGTATAAAATTATGTAATACTAACTTGAGAAGTTATGTCAAAATTATATCTACCTTCAGTATGTACCAAAATGATTTTATTACTTAGTTTTGAAAATATATTTTTTGTTTTCAATCCTAAAGCAACCACTTTTTAGGTGATTACTAATTACTAATAATTAAATGATTTCTATAGAGCGTGTGTTCACCCATTATTATTAATATTAAATATTTACACGTTTTTATAAAAACTTTGTTAAGCTCCTGAAAAGAAGAAATTTCTTCTAATTTAATTAAATAATATAATTACCGGTCTATCACCGACGGGAACCAAAAATACACATTAATTTTGAAAACAAAATTGACTTAATTGCTCCCATTTTGCAGACATAAAATTTAGTCCCATTTACATAATACGAGCTGGCTTACCGTACACCGGGCACATATACTCCTAAATAAACAGTTATACTCGTACCTATACATTCTAAATAATTCCAGATACTGATCCAGATACCCTATACAGATAATCATTTTCTTTAGCAAAAGCTTTACTTAAGTAAAAATAATTAGTCCGTCCATAGCTTTTTAATCGAACAATAAAACTAGTCGAACTGCACGGATGGCTTAGTGGTTTAAGCAGTCACCTCGCCATTTCCTACAGCGCTGAGTGTGTTTTTAGGTTGGGTGTTCTTTGTGTCAGTTACATAAGTGTTTGTAAAGATAATATTAATAGAGAAGATAGTATCTTCTTTACAAATTGCCAGATAGATAAGGATCAGGAGGTATAAGCTCGAATTAGTGCTGTCCGACTAGTGGAGTACTTCAATGCTTCTAAGTACCTGGAATTCTAGATTCCATGGTATCTCTATGAAACAAACACGACTGCACGGATGGCGTAGTGGTTTAAGCGCCGCTTCCTACTGCGTCGAGTGTTGTGGGTTCAAATGGGTGTGTGATCCACAAATTGTTGTTCTGAGTCTGGGTGTTGTTTGTGTCCGTTTCATATATGTTTGTTAAGACCCCCGCGACACAGGAATGTATTCCTACTGCGGGAGTTGTCTTTTAAAAAAAAAATAAAGAAACACGAACGATTTTTTTGTAGAAATTGAGAATGCAACTTACAATATTTTATTTATATTACTTGATTTCCTACACACAAGGTGTATCCTGGTTTTACACCATTGCATTTATCTTTTCTTAACTGAGGACGTCTGACCAGAAGCTAATTTGCACTGTTGACAAACCATTTTTTTTTATTCTACAAACACAGTGTGATTTTTTTAAATTACAATGGATTATTGGATTTCTCATGCAAAACAGCTAACATTATGACTGCTTGTTAGGTCCGTGGAATCTTTAGGTATAGGTTATCTATATTCTCACGAGAGTCACAGATTATCGCAAGCCGTAAATAAAGAAGGGTACAACAAAACAAAATTATCTTTAACCTTTTATCGCATGTCACGTTCTGTGGGGAGAAGGTTAAAAAATACTTGTATTTATTTCTAATATAATATTTTATTTTTTTTGAGAAAGGTTATAGACTATGGGTATCTGTGGGGAACAGTGTAAGCTATTACATTCATAATTATGAAGCTGGGGTAGTGTTATGATTATGTTGTCTCAAATAAGTCCGAACGACTTCCACATGCAGCAAAAACACACTGCACCATCATCTAGGGAAGATGAACTAAACTATTAATGCATATTTACTACTATCCTGCATTCTGCAATGAAAGTTGTAAGGTTGGAATAAATTCACAATCACCTGTGATAAATCATATAATCATACTAACTTACAAAACCAGGCACAGGTATGATTATATGACACCTTATTATATGGCACGTTATTAGCGCCAGACTTGCGACAGGTCCAAAATGAAAAAAAAGGTCGTGATCTTTAATAAAAAGAATTATGATTAATTTTTATGGCATTTATTTTTATCTATGACCAAATCACAATCACAGGTGACACCGCTGAGCTATAACCATTCATTTCATCATATGAATATGATTTAAAAGTAGCAAAAATTGCCATGTCTGGAAAGTTAACAAGTCGATATATGCATCTATTAGTAACATAAACTCGTACCACCACGACCACATAAGGGTTTAGACATTGAGATGAATATTGTTTTGAAGGTCAAAAAGTCGATGTATCTTTTTTCTTGGGTAACGAGTCACTTATATTGTGGTACACTTTCACTCCGTTAAGTATTGCTCTAGTAAGTGTCAAAAACTATAAACACACCTATTAAAAGGTAATACAGAAAGTATATGCCTATTATCGTAAGGAAATACTTGGACATAAACTGACGAACATTAACTAAACCAGTTTTTTACGTAAGTTTTGGTACTAGGTAGAACAATCGACAAATATTTGGTTAATTCAGGATTGATTTTACTCCAGACATTTTTCCTGTTTCCAAACTGTTTTTTGAAACCTGAACAAACCTACCAACTCGTCTGGTCAGCGTGGTATAGTAGGCCAAAACCTCCTTTCTAAGGAGAGGCTCCAGCAGTGGGCTATTAGAGGCTCTTGATGTTTTTTTCTGTTATCTCAACGTCCTGCAGTGTGCCACTTGCCAATTCAATCAATCACAAAGAAGCATAAAAAACACAGCATCATCATCATTTTTTTCGCTTTCTCCTGCACAAGGATATTTATTGGATCCTTTTTTTTTTGGGAAAGGGAGATAGAAAGTTGGGAAAAGGGAAAGTGATAGGAATTTCTGAAATCAATATACGACTGTTAGATGTAAATTTCACAAAAAAAATCTTCCGACACATCTTTCCTTTTAACTTTCTAGAGCTCAGGGTGCTACTTCTACTCAACCAAAATTAACACAAATACTTATTCGTGTTATGAAAGTACTGTAGCAGTAGTTTGCTCGACTATCAGGGATAGCGGGTTCAATTCCAGCTCGGTATGCATAAATATGTCTATGTGTGTCTATGTATTTATATATAAAATGTTGGTCCCATGTATATTGGTCCTTGTTTTAGAACCTATAGTGCTAGCTTGCTTAGTTTGGCCCTAACCAGAGATGCTTAATATTACTATTATATTTGACCATCTAATGTGTGTGTTTTCTTAATTCATGTGCTTTATATTTTATTTATATAGTAATCTCTTACACATGCAATTAACTAATTAACGTTTCTGTTATTTTGCAATCAATATGTTTTCCACCCAGTTAACAACATTAGCTAATAAGTTAACAGTTAATTTTGTAAACAATCTCATTAACTATCATAATATCGTTGACTGCACGGATGGCGTAGTGGCTTAAGCGGTCGCCTCACCGCTTCCTACGACGCTGATTGTTGTAAGTTTGATCCCCACATGGGACAACACTTTGTATGATTCACAAATTGTTGTTCTGAGTCTGGCTGTTCTTTGTGTCCACTTCACGAATGTTTATAAAGTCCCCCGAGACACAGGATTTGATTGTTGTCCTATGGCGGTAGTTATCTTTTTTTTTAATTTAAAGAAAATTAACGGTTATTTTCTTATGTTATTAGCGACAAATTTAAATACATTTTTCTTGTCTTTGAAAATAAAAGTCTATATCAAAGAGTCGCTGAGTTGAGTGTATCGAAACCCTTAATCGTGTTCTAAAGGAAGTTTAAATGAAGAGCTTTTAATAATTTCAAACTTAAACCGAACGAGAATTGTTTAAAGAAGTAGAGCAGTTAATGAATTTGTAGGGTACTTTCTTATATCCCAATGATCAAGAATGGACCTAATAGCTACAATTCCTTTCACCAGATGCAGTTGATTTAAATATATTTTGTGCGTATTGTATATTAACATAAGTGATATTGTCCACATGCTTAACTAACAACTCAGGTCTCTAAATTCCACGTCAGTCCATTGCAAGGGGGCAACATGTAGAATAATTTTGACACAATTGTCGCTAAATGCTAAATAATAATATTTAAAATAATAATAGTGATATGTTCCGTACTATGTATAAAAACATACGCAAGGACCATCAAATAAATATCTTTAATAAGTCAAGAGAAGAAATTGCAAAATTGCCAATAAAAAAATCTTACTCGGAATGAACGCCTCCCGCGCTCTACCGTAATTTTTAAAAATTACAAAGTTAAAATAAATAAGTTGCATAGGTAACGACTTTATAAACTCAAAGATTCACGAATATTAACACGAAAAATAATCATTAACCTACTTCGTTGCTCTACATACGATAAATTATAAGTGGGGCATCCTTAGACATTGTCTTGTAGATGTAGCAACAAGTTAACCGGTCAGTTGACGGTCATTAAACAATAGCGTGGTTACATATAATTCCCGGAAAAAGATAAATAGTACAATTATGCTATTACCGTTTGATTTGTCCTGTCTGCGACTACCTTATCGAAGGGCCTATGACCTTTAGTAAACATTGACCAATCAACATGTTTAACTTACCAATAATGAAGCTGACAAATCATAATTGTATTTGTTATTATGACCGTTAAATAATAATTCTTGATAACAAAATAATAAATAAGTGATAGAGAAATGATAATAATGACAAATAATTCATTTATTGCATGCATTAAATTTAACAAATCATGTGTAGCCATGCTATCATAGTTAAATTGCGAATTCCGACATTAATATATTTTATTGTATATATTTATTCAAATAATCCAAACAACCGAAATTGCTAAATTGATCCTACATTGTTTTTTTTTTAATAATATCTTATAGAAATAAATACAGAAGGGTTCTTTTAGATATTCCATAACCCACTTTTCTAACTATTGATTTAAATTGAATGTACCCAATTAAACAATAAAAATGACCAATCATTGTCATTGTCATCGTAATTTATTGCATGAGATAAATATTCTCTATGTATTACATATAACTTCTTTTTTATCAACATTGCACAATTCATATTAATAGATTTTTTTGTTTAACATATTTGTTAAACAAAAAAATCTATTAATATATTTCATTATATTCGCATCTTTACAATAATTTCACCCAAATGCGTCGGAAATGTCGGTTATCGCGGTAAAAATGTCTGTCTTTCCTCAGGAATCGAGTATCTTTAAATTTCATCTAAATCGGTTTAAGGGGTTATTGATTCCCCATACTAACTGCCACCCCCCTTTTCAACCCCTTAAAGGATGCTTTCTGGGATAAGAACTACCCTATGTCCCTTCCCGCGACTATCTCTATAACAAATTAAGCTATTTAAGCGTTAAGAGGTAACAGACAGACACACTTTCGCATTTCTAATTTTTGTATGGATTTTAACTACTTACACGTTTTAACTACATAATTTTAGTTACTACTCGTATCAGTCTGTAAAAAAATTGTGTTGATGTTAATTATCTATGGGCGGTCAATCCTCCTACTTCTCACTTTTGAAGTAAATGAAATATGTTTTTTGTTTGGCGGCCTGTTGGTTCCTTCACTGCTGTGGATCGTGACTCCCTTTCATCCTGTCAACCATCGGTTACGATCAGTCGCTTGGTGGAGTGCGATACTTATTGGCATCACCAGCTGTTCAGCGATCTGGTCTGACCATCTGGGACTTCTGCCTCTGGGTCTTTCCAGTCACCATCAATAGTTCCTGGTCGTCATCATTTCGGCGAGCAACGTATCCGAAACATTCGATGATACGTTGCTTGCAAGTTGAAGACCGGCACTGAACATTCTTTATTTTAAGTTTTTCAGTATGGAGATATTTGTGCAATGTGCCTTCCACCTTAATATACGGTGCCCCCGTCACAACCACCACTACCATTATATTTATTAAAAATATTTTTCAAATCTTATTACTAAAATAAAAGTTTATAATTACAGCGATCTAGAACAAACTTTAGCTTTACATACTTATTGATAATGACTCGTTAAATTTCTTTACAATCGATCTCAATATTGCTTGACCGACATTGATGTACTGTAAAGTATACACATGGTTGTATAGATGAGCACTCATCTCGTTCCCCTCTTCCGGCGAGCTCATCCCATTTACCAATTTACTTGATCAAGACCGACGTCTGAACTCAGACGTTGGCAACTTGACCGTTATTGTGTGATATTTTCTATAAGTATAAAATGCCACGACTGTCAAGAAATATGTGAGAGATATATAATTAGCTTTTAAAAACAATTAACTGATTTCAATTAACCTGGCCAGCGTGGTACAGTGGGACAAAACCTCCTGACTTAGGAGAAGCCTATGTCTAGCCAGTGGACTACTGAAAGTTGTTGATGATGATGATGAATAAGCCTACATCATGATGATTAGTAATGAACTGTGTTCTTCATTCCTTAATTTTCAGGGGTCCTTAGGGACGGCATTTTCCTTAAAAAATTATTGGAACTAAACAAGAAATATGCATTTTCAAATACAAAAATAATTTCGTGAATCGGTTCTTTAATTACTGAGCTCTGAGGTAACAAACATAACAAAGTAAACTATAGTTTAAAAAATTAAAGAAGTACAGAGGAATTGATGACCTCCTCTTTTGTGTTTTTGAAGTCGGTTAAAAGAGTAAAAAAACACGCTTTTGTAACTAGCCGAACTAAAACGTAGAAAATAATTTTCCATAAGTATCTAAAAAAGCGTGGTGTGCTTAAAATATTTTATTTTTCAGATACCTATTAGTAAAAGCAAGGTTATTATATTATAAAATATCTTAAAAAGTACCCCACGCTTTTTTACGATGCTTATAGAAAATGATTTTCACTTTGTAGTCCGGCTAGTTACAAAAGCGTGTTTTTTTTAGTTTTTAACTATAATTAATTTTTGATTTTTAGTCATTAATGATGATTATTTTCTCATTAGGACTAAAAAAGTAACAAATAAGTCACGTATATTTCAGCACACGCCTCTTAGTACGTAGTAAAGGACACTACCGTATTTTTAGGAATGGAAATCTCTTTCGTTAATCCTGAAGATCCTGATCAGGAGAATCTGCCAAATTTATCAAATTATTGAATTGTCATCGATCCTTGATAACTGTGCGAAATTTCAAGTTAATTCGACGTTTTGAAGTGGGTCAAAATCACGTTCGAAGATTCCGTTACATACGTCCATACATACCAAGCTAATAAAAGCGTGATAAAAGTACAGTCGAAACAAAGTAGAACAGAAAAGTAAATTCATTTTTTTTAAACACTATTAGAAAGGTCAATTTTTTTTTTTTGTAGTGACATATGATGTTTATCAACTGTAGTGATAAATAGAGCACAAAAAAAACATATTCTAACATAATTAGCCAGCAAATTATGCCTAATGATCTATAACTACTTGAAATTCAACTTAAACTTTCCTTTAGAGTAATATTAATATATTTTCCTTAACGAGATAAAGATGAGGTCAAACTGGGTCATTAGATAACGTTCTAGGCATTCATATACCTAACGCTTATCTTAAAATAAATATTATTGAAACAGTAATGTTAATTTAACGTTAAAACTAACCTGATCAGCTTTTGTCACGCCACCCAGTGACATGTTCTGTGTTATCGCTTAAAATTTTAACACTAGTCTTTACTGATGTAATCTAAGAATACCTACACATGTCTTCCATATCAGTAATTGTTGAATTTGAACGTTTTTACCGACTTGCAATAGTACTATTTTTAATTCAACTTTTGTATTCGGACCATAGAAATCAACTTTACAATAAAATGAGTTGTTTAAACTGATTTCCTGTAACAGTTTAATAGCATGCAATTGTTTTTATTTTTAAATATTACGGCTTAGGTATTTACTCGATTTCAGTCCAAATCTTTAAGCACCACGCTACAGTCCTGCGACGTGAGAGTGGATGTTCGTTATAAAAGAGAAATTGAAAGAGACAGTGACCCTGAATCTGGCCTTGAATTCATTAATTTTTCAATTGTTTTGTCTTTTTTTTCTACTTCCTTTCTTCATTTCAAAGTTACTACAAAATAAAACATGCATCACTAAGTGGGAGATAAATGGGTGGTGGGGGTTTTTTTTTATTCTATCTGTAAATCTATAAATTTAGGGCATAACAAATATAATCCATTTCTTCACGTACACAACAGAATGACTTGTAAGAGGAATACGGCATATTAGGACGAATGTACACTATGTCTTGGAATCAAAAGGCACTCAGGTTATATCCTTATATAAATTTCATGAAAGCAGTAACGTGTGGTAGCATGTAATGATTCATCTCTAATGATTACACTAAGTATAGCAATGTGGGTTAAGCATTATTTTTTTCTTAACTTTAAAAAACACACAAGCTCATTGAGACTGTTCTAATAAGCCTAAACATAGTCTATTTGTTGTAATTTTCTGAGAAGTTAGCTATCTAGCAGACTACTTGATACAGCAGCAAGTTCCAGGTTACCATGTGGTGGAAAAATCATCAAAGTAACAGTACACCAAATTTCAGATCCAACCATCTCGATCAAAAAACCCGCATCGAAATTGGTCTATCCGTTCGAGAGCTATGATGCCACAGATTAGAATCAGAGATCGCAATAGTGCGTAAACAATATACAAATTCAGTCAGTCAGTCAGCCTTCTGTTATCACAGATCAGAAATCGAAGATAGTGGGAAAAGCAATATCCGAATACAGTTCTAGATTTCCAGATATGTATGTATGTGATGTGCAAAGGGAAGCAAAACTTGAAACAAACCCTATCCCAACCCGATTGGCCAGCGTGGTATAGTAGGCCAAACCCTCCTTTCTAAGGAGAGCCCTACGAGTATGTCCAGCAGTGGACTAGTAAAGGCTAATGATCTGTTGTGTGTGAGAGGGTTGTCATTTGTTTTGAAGTCTATATTTGAAGTTGATTGCGAACGCTGTTGATGGTTTATTATTTTATATTTCCAGGTGCGCTGGCGCAGGAATTCACACTGCAACGGCTCCCAAGTATAGAGTTGAAAAACATGCTGACCACACAATGCCAAAAGAATGGTGCCGAAGACAAAGTCGACGAAGTTGAGGTTTGTTGTATTAACACATTTAAACAACCCTTTTAGTGCATGTCCCTCCTCCCTCGGGCCGTCACCATACTGGGTTTTTTGGTACGGTAGTGTAGAAAATTGCGCTTAAAATAGGAGAGATTGGAAAACACTAATTACTATTCTGGTTAAAGGGTAGAGCGAATGGAGTGGTCGCTTAATTACCTTTCCAGACGACTTGCATACGCGTAGCTGATCCTTTAAAAACCTATAGATTTTTTCATGAAGAACCTCATACATGTAGTTCCTAAATAAGACATAAAATACATGGATCCCATGGGACAACACTTTGTTTGATCCACAAATTGTTGTTTTGAGTCGATGGTTCGAATGAAAGTTACAGGATAAAATTGGATATAATCATAGATTTTGTCTTAATGATAATTCTTACATATTTTATATATTTTTTTAATATAACGGTCAATACCAGCAGCCCAGTTCATCATTGAAAAATGTTGCAAAAACGGTGCAAATTCATTCCTTTTGAGAGACGCGGTTGCGTGGGTCGGCTGGTCTATAATTTATCCATAACGTCTTCAATGCTAATTTTATGTTTCAGAATTCCGGAAAAGCTTTCGTTGAATGCGTAAAGGGTCTAATTGATGTTGACACACTGAAGAGAGAAATCGAGGAAGCCAGACCCAATGGCGCTCTTGACGAAGTATTCAAGAAGTAAGTAATATTAGTCATCGTAAAAATTAGGTGTTGTAACATAAAGAAAAATGTGGAAAATTCTCGAACGCTGATTAAATTCTAAGTTCTATTTGTCGTTATCTCCACGAACATGTCAATTCTTGATAATGTTCCAAAGAGAGAATTTCAAGAGAAGACGGAGAGGCAAAATGCACGAGAACTTTTAACCCCTGCACTGGATTAACACATAGGCTACTTTTTATCCCGTAGTGTTCTCGATGAGCAATTTAATCATTGAAAATTCGCGAGTAACACCGCCGGGCGCAGCTGTATAACTGATGTATCTAAGATTGTTGTAATTTCATCGATTTAAGGATAACAATAATTTATTTTCTTATAACAATGTTTTTTTTTTAATATTAAGCAACAATAATGTGCCAATAAAATGTTTATATGATCTGCAAATATTAGTTTCGGAATTTGGGTGTTTTCTATGTATAATGTGTATGTATTTAAAAAAAGGATATAAGTATCGGTATCAGTCAATCTATCTTTCATAGTACAAGCTCTGCTTAGTTTGAAACTAGATGGCGTTGTGTGTCAGATGGCTGAAAATGTTGTTATTTTATGAATACTTTCAACATTGTTAGAGACTGGTGCCTGATATGGGTTTGTGCTGGTGCATAATCTGCTTTAAGGGCAGCATTGCCCTCCGCGAATACTTTTATCAACTAGATACCACATGTTGATAGGGTACAAGTTTACAAAACAATTGAAACTAGATCTAAAATAAAAGGTGAATATGAAAATTAACAAAAGTTTAGGAGAAACCAAAGTGCTTGTGTGGATTGTGGTAGTGTATGATCGTGTGAGTAGCGCGGCAGAATTGTCCTAATTTTAAAGGTGTGTCATGTAAGTATGTGTAAGATGCGAGATTTTAAAAGGAAGAAATTAGTTAGGCTGTGGAGTAAGTTAGTTACATTTAGTTACAGTTCCTCAGTGTGACTCACTGAATAGGTAAAATAATTATCACGAAATAGGTGAAATCAATAGTTGTTCGGTTGCCTCATAGTCAATAGTTTTCAGAATTGGACTTACTACAGCATTGCATTTTGTTCTTGGCATAGGGTATATATATTACTAGCTGACCGGCGCAACTTCGTCTGCGTCTCTCAATAGTAATAAATTTTCTCCGTTTTTGAAACATTCTTTATTGGTGCTCCGCTCCTATTGGTCTTAGCGTGATGATATATAGCCTATAGCCTTCCTCGATAAATGAGCTATCTAACACTAAAAGAATTTTTCAAATCGGACCAGTAGTTCCTGAGATTATCGCGTTCAAACAAACAAACAAACAAACAAACTCTTCAGCTTTATAATATTAGTATAGATTTAATATTTTATTGGGTCAGGTCATTCAAAAATGGTAATTTCTTCAAAAGGCCAACCAAGACCCTATACTGCACTCACATAGTTCTCTTATACATTATTCACGGACTAAAAAAAGACACCTCTGTGATTTTTTTCGGCGTTTCTTAAATATCATTTATTTAATTTATTGTAGAGATATGTCTCGAAAAGTCACACACATTGCCTTTACGCCGCTTGTCCATTATTAAGGATTGTACCCACATGAAGGATGTGTACCTACATCGGTAATGGTGTTTTAGATAGATAATAAAATATGATAATGCTATGAATTTTCTCAGGTATTGTGCCAAGACTCCACAGCTGAAATCATGTATTCACAATCTGTTGGACGGCGTCACACCCTGCGTAGACACCGAGGCCAAAGGACACATAACAGAAGCTAAGAATGCTACTGATCTCCTAATAGATTTCGTGTGCTACAAGGACGGTGACAGAATTGCCTGTAAGTAAAAAAATATTTCCTTTATTTCTTACTCTCAATCTTTTTTTGTAGTACACATAGACAATTTTAGGTAGACATCTTGAAATTGATGACTCTTTGATGAATTATTTTCCAGTATTCATTGCCGAGGGTGGTCCTCAGTGCTTCCAAAGCAAAGTCAACGAGATTAAGACCTGCGGAGATACCTTGAAGAACTCTGTCTCCAGTGTGGAGGAAGCTAAGAACCTCACAATTGAAGTAAGTCTCATACTATGCATGTATAGGAAGAGAGTATAATTAAGAACACACAGTTATTGTTGTTTTACTTATTATAGACAAAATAATAATCACTTTATCATCATTATCATCATCAACAGCCTTTAGTTGTCCACTGCTGGACATAGGCCTCTCCTTAGAAAGGAGGTTGTGGCCTACTATACCACGCTGGCCAGACGGGTTAGCATATTTCCTTCTCTTGCAGTGCTGTTTTCCGAGTTTGCTCCTTTAGTCGGTTCTAACGACACCCACGGGATGAATATACTCTATATTGATACTCATATTAATTTATTGCACATCCAAATTCACTAAAGTTTGTTAGTCCCAACCAAATATTAGTTTAAAATAAAAATGTTCACTTTTCAGCAACGTTGTGCCAAATACGACGAGCTCGTGACCTGCGTAGTTGGTAAGCTGGAGACGTGCGACACCCCAACACCCTCCAACATGTTTGAGTCACTCGCCAAATACGTCCGCAACAGTACCCCCTGCCCAGTAAGTACCACTTATATTATCAGCATCTTATAGTTTTATTTCCTTCCTCTGAGCCTTTTCCGTAAAATAGGTTGGGGTCGGTTTTAAGTCTACTACGCTACGGCTGAACATCGATTTTTTACGCGGAGCGACTTCCATCAGACCTCCACCTCCATGTAGAAAGACTATTGTTGGACTTTTTAGGGCTCCAACTACACAAATGTTCATATGGCAACCGAAAGTGACAGCTTAACGTGCTCTCGGAGGCACGGAGGGGTCTCAATGTGTTAAGAATGGTCACTCATTCATCAACTCTTTGTAATGTGTTATCCTACTGGGTTACAACTTAGCCACGAGCCCCTCGTGTAGTATTTAACTGTAGATAAATTTTGATATCATAATATTTATTGCAAAACTCTATCTTACTTACAAAGTTACATAAATACGACGACGACGTTTTCTATTAGGTAGTTAGTACCTTACGCCTGAGTGCCACCACTGCGATGGCCAGACCGTGGACACGGCTCTCCACACGCTGGCAGAGTGCCCGGCGTGGGTTGAGCAGAAGCGAGACCTCGTGGCGGCCATCGGAGTGGGAGTTCTCTCGCTCGATAGCCTGATTGCGGCTATCGTGCGGAGCGAGAGTGCGTGGAACTCTGCCGTCTCCTTCTGCGAGCAAGTAATGCTCGCGAAGGAGACGGCGGAGCGGGACCGGGAGAGGTTTAGGACTCTCCCGGCCCGCCAGGCCCGGGAACGGGCCAGGTACCGTAGGCGACTCAGGACGGAGGTCGCAGAACGACCTCCGTCCTCCATAAGCGCAGGCCTGGGGGTGACAGGTGAGGCCATCTGTCACGCTAGCAGAAGCAGGCCGGGGTGGCGGCGAGCGCGTTGCGAAGCGCGCTCGCCTCTAGGGAGCACAGGGAACATGGGGTTCCCACACGGGGGGGGTCGTCTACTCGTCTGTAGATGACCCGAGGTATGTCGGGGCACCAGGGACTTCCTTTCTAGGGTATACCTGGTTCCCCGGCTATTAGTACCCGAGACGGCGTGCGGTTTTAGTCGGTTCGAGTCCGACATGCCACCGACAGGTGGTATCCCAGGGGATTTCCGCACGGAAAAAAAAAAAAAAAAAAGGTAGTTAGTACCTAATAGAAAACGAGGAATTTTTAGTTAATAGGTTTTTTTTCTCAAAATAATTCAAAACCGAATTCGTTACAATGAATGCTCGATAATCAAATGTTATTTAAAACCTTCGTTTTATAAATTAGAGATTAGAAAGTTTGAGTTAAAACTTAATATTGTTTTTAGTAGTTAGCGCAGCTCGAGATGTGTGAGTGCGCATCGTAGATTTGCGAGCAGAGATTGCTAGCCAACTACCTACACTTCCAGTTTATTTAGTGAGGTTAAGGCGAGAAGAGGCAAGATTCCCAACTACACTCGCACCCGCCTCCACTAGTCTTAAATTCATACGAGATAATATAAGAAATATATACCGCAAGGGAAGCCTCACGGTGAGAGATCGTTGCACGCAGAGGCCCTCTCTATCTCTTTCTTAATACCCGCACATGCGCAGTCACGTTAATCATAATCATGCAGTGAGAGAGAGATAGAGAGGGCCTCTGCGTGCAACAATCTCTCTCGCACCGTGAGACACCTCAAAGCATTGAGTTAGGTGGGATTGGCGTGCTCTATTTCTTATATTATCTCTATGCTTAAATTGCCTTGTCTTGTCCTATACGTGTGCTATGTTTTTGTGTTAGGTACGAAATTTCTTTACAAAAAACGGCTTGTTAGTTTTATGGTTACTGATCCTGTCTGCTAAGCCAGTGGTAGTTAGTTTGATTCCCACCAAGGTCAAATAATTTTGTATAGAGCAAGATCATTTTTCTGTCTGGGTGTAATTTATCTATAATATGTATGTATTTAGAAATATTAAAGTATGCATATATATTATCAGCTGGATACTGGTTACCTACCATAGTATAGGCTCTGCCTAGTTTGGGATCAGACGGCCTTGTGTAAGATGGGTGGGGTAAAGTATTATAATTACTCCCAGTAATGAGTTTTGTTGATTCTGGAAGTAATTTCTCCTAGAAGTAAATCATGTAACACCTTAAAACTTGTAATAAGCGAAAATGGTTGAAAACGAAAATTATTAGGTTTGTTAGGAATTTAGCAATATTTTTTCAGTATTGAAACTTGAAGTTGAGGTTTAAGTCAATAGTATTTATTATTATTTACTTGTTACAGAAAAAATGAAGTCAACGCAGAGCTGCGAAATTCACAGAAGTGCCAATAAACTATAATATTAGAAATGCAAATACTTTTAATAAATAAAAATTAAAATAATAACATGCGAGTCTCTTGGAATCCTTACCCATCTAATTAATACTAGGTTACCTATAATCGTCGAAAAAGACGAAAAAGTCTGCAGTAAGTAATGCAGTGTCGGTTGGGACCAGGGCCGCCGCCAGCTGTTTAAGCGCCCGCGTGCAATACCGATGAAGCCGACTTTTTCAGCGTGCAAAAATTGCCCTTCGGATACCTCCACCGAACCAGTTGTGTGGTTATAGATTTTATTTCTGATCAAGTTCTTTCTATAGTTATTTCAATGAGTGTAGAAATCATATTATTTCGCTACAATTATGCCCCGGTCGCCGCGGCATGTCGTCACATGTCGTTCTATAAATTATCCCACCTTGATCAAAACTTAATCCGAAATAAAATAAAATCGCTTACCAAGCCGTACTGTGTTGCGACGTAAGCCAGCGCCAACCCTATTGAGTGGCTGGTCTTTCTGCGGAATGCCGCGACGTTACGCAACATGCTTTGGCATGCTGCTGCATATCAAAGCATCCCTCGGGCTGCCGAAAGACACCCTGCCGTGCCGTGTAGTCAGCGCCGGCCACAAAACTGCACGCCGGCGGCGAGCCATCTCGGTGTAAACTAGAAGGCTCTTAAGGCTTTGCTAATACTTGCCAATGCACCAGAGAGGACGGAACTGGTCATTTCAAGCAAAACAGCATAGAAATACCTATCTACATTTAGTATTAAATTAGTATCTGAAGGTCTGCGGTACTGAAGGCTGATTAATTAAAGGTTAGTAAAAACAGTAGATAATAAAATCCACAGGTTAAAGGTATTTTTTTGGATTTGATTCTTAGGCTTAGGCTGTAAAAAATCTCCATTCCATTCTAATAAAAAATAATAAATCAAAAAGTACGATTCGGAAATAAAAAGAGTCTAAAAAAGTAAGTAACTACCGTCACACATGATAGCGGTAGGACATAATATTTACGTAATATTAAGTCATTATTGTGACAGTACCTACTATGTCATAATGATATCATACTATATGACATCATATCAAAATCGTAAATAGTCATTTTTATGTCACATCTATCTAAAAATACTATGGTCTGTCTATGACCTATATGTATATGACGTCATATGGAGGTCAAGTGTTCACTGGGTTCTAATGGGCGTTAAGAAAACTAGACAAATGATTTGAAATTAATATACTATTTACTTTTAACCTTATTTCAATAATTACTGGCGAGGATTTCGACAAAACCTGTTTGAAATTTAGTTAATGATTGTATTTGGTGCGCTTCGTGAACCTTTTTTTCACACATACAACCATGTGGTATGTATAACAGAACATTTTATTAAAGAGGGACACGAATTATACTTGAATATACCTAATTATACCTTGGCATCATTTTACAATCGAAGCAATAGTAAAAGAGGCGGATCATGCATTTTATTGAAAAGTGAACATAAATTTAAAATACTCTCAGAAATCAGAAAATTTTCTCTTGATCGTGTGTTTGAATGTTGTGCTATCGAACTTATAGACTATAAACTTATCATAATTTGTATATATAGAGTACCTGATGAAAGTAACTTATATGTATTCTTTAATAGACTCGAGAAACTTTTGATACATGTTTCGAAACTAAATTGCAAAAGTATTTTATTAGCAGGGGATTTTAATATAAATGTCTTAAAACGTAATAATATTACCCTGGATTTCGAATGTTTGTTATTGAATTATAATAATAGATTAGCATTGTATGAACCTACGCGACCAGCTAGTGGTAGCTGTCTAGACAACTTTGCACATAATTTTAAGCGAGGTTGGAAAACTGAAATTATAGAATTGGCCCTTTCAGACCATATGGCACAACTAAATAAACTACCAATTAAAAAAATATTGTTGTTAGAGACTTGGCATATACTCAAACGCGATTATAACCCTGAAAATATAAGTAAATTTAAAACTTGCATTAGAAGCTTAACGTTTTCCAATATCTATCATACCTGTGATCCAAATATAGCCTATAAATCTTTTATAGAAAATTTCAGGCTATTTTATGATTTGTGTTTCCCACTAAAAAAATTACAATAAGAGTTAACAGAAAACCAAAATGGATATCGCGTGGGATTAAAATATGCAGTAAAAAAAAGAGGCATTTGCTGTGGAAATATAAATTGCATCCTACAAAGGAAAATAAATTAAAATATGTTAAATATTGTAAGGTTTTTAAAAGAATAATTAAATGTACAAAACTTGCCCAAAACTGTCACAAAATAAAAACTTCTACAAACAAGTGTAAAGCGGCATGGCAAGTTATTAGCAAAATGAGACTAAATTTACCAAAAGAAACAATTACGGACATAAAAATTCATAATAATAAATATATTCATAATCCGAAGGACATAGCTAATGCATTTAATGATTATTTTATTGAAAAAATCACCCCTATTGTAGGTGCTGGTCAAAATGTGACTAATTTAGTGAAAGAACGCCTTAACTCAATGTTCCTTACGCATTGCACACCCGTTCAAATTAATCAAATCATAAAAAAGTTAAAAAACACTAATAGTGTTGGATACGATGGTTTCTCTACTAAAATCATTAAGGCGGTTAATGAAACTATATGCCATCACTTAAGTTATATTGTAAATTTGTGTATTTCAACTGGTACATTTCCAGCAGACCTTAAACTGACAATAATTAAGCCTCTATTCAAGAAAGAAAATAAACAATT